GTAAAAAAATAAAAAAAATCAAAACATGAAACAAAATTATTTATTAGAATTAACAGTCCTCAATATCCAGTTAGTATAATGAGAAACTTTAGTATAAACTCCGGGGTAATATCGATGGCCACAGGAATATCCAAAAGACACGATGCCTACTATCAAGCCTTTATATAGTAGAGGGCCACCAGAGTCACCGAAACATCCGTCTGGTCCTCCAGCATCTACGCGACCAGCACACATCATGGAGTCTTGAATAACTGCACCAATTGTGTTATATCGCATCGCGCAAATTTTTTGGTCTATTGTGTAGAGATTCGTGTGCTGTAATTGCTCGGGTTGTGGACCGTCAGTCTGAAAGAAAATATAAGTAATATTTTATACGTTGGTATAATTTTGATGCGATAGGCACAAATAGCGCTTGCTTTAATGAGGCATGTTTCTTCAGTTTTTTTTACTAACATTAGGTAAATGCCATAAGCTTTAAAGCTCCCTCATACTTCTTGAATCTGCTATGCTTACTAATCCCTATACAGAATACATTTTGGAAATTATTTCATCTTCCAAACTTTATTATTTTATCTAAATGTGTTTAAATAGGGTCAATGCTTCAACCAAGCTTCAACTAAAAGCAGAAGCTCTAATTTGCTAAGCGTAGTTAACCTGCAGGACACACCTGACGCTGTGGTTTTCCGGGAGTTTCTTGGCTGTTATCTGACGGCTATTGAAAATAATCATTAAGTAAAATTATATTAATATTAATGGCCCAAGATATTCAAATATTATTAAGAAATATTAACTAGACAAATTATCTTCAACCCGAGTGAATAGGTAGCTTAAGGGTCGACGTGTTCCATCGTAGACCGCATCATCGCTTACCATCAGGCGAGATGGTGATCAAATGTCAGCTCATTACATATAAAAAATCTTTAAAGGCCTTATATTTTACCGGGACTATTGTAGTAGGTATGATTGTAGTGTCGTTATTATCATCATATCAGCAAAAATATATTCATTTATGAACATAAGCCTCCTCCGATGACAACCAGAACAGGATGGACCCACATCAAACCATCCATCATAATTTTTTTTTTTTCACTTTATATTTCACTTTAGTTACTTATTATGGAGGCCTTACCAAAACTTATAAGTTAACTATTATAGCCATCTAACTACTTATTACAAGAAAAGCCTTACCTCCAAAACTCCCCATCCAACGAGGGTGCAAAGAGAATCCGGCTTGATCTCTACCCCTTGCTTGATAATAGTGCCCTGTCTCACATTGTTATTAAAAGAAAATTGTTTAGCGACCACTACAACAGAGATGTCGTTTGTGTAAAAGAATTTATCGAAATCCTTGTGTGGTATTATAGTTTTCAAATTATGGAGCACTCCTCCACCGGTGCGGTATGTGGAACCAACTCGAATCTTCCAATATTTCGGCATGGTATAACTGAAACACATAAGACTCATATAAATTACACAACTTTTCTACATACTTAAGTACAAGCCTATTGTAAGACTGTAGGTCTTCGCAACATAAGAGAGTTTTTAATAATCTTTACGTGTGGTTGGCGGGTTAGCGACCGTAATTCCAAAGGTTCGAACTTGTCAAAGGCTGCTGCGGGGTTTCTGTAGGATGTTTCGTCCTATAAGTCACTCGTACGATACCTACTGGCAGGCAAGTAAGATAATGATGATGATAGATAATGTTCAAATGGCCTTAGTCTAAATCAAGCCTTAGTCGGCGCTTACGAGACCAGTGAGAAGAGCAATGTTGGTGATGCTCCAACTTTACACAAATACAAGGATTTAAAAAGTCCTTACTTTCTCCCAGTATTCGCGTTGTACTGGAAACAGTGAGCAGCAGACAAGACATGCCGTGACGTCAGTATGACACCAGCACAATGCTGCACGTACTCCTGCGTGCCCCACGCGTCCAGCAACAGTTGGGCCATAATCGGATAGTGGACTATACTTGTTGGAACACCTTGGATAACTCGTGTCAATATGTTATAGTGGTAGAATTGGGCGTTTGCTGAAAGGATATTATTAACTTTAGATTTTGCAAGAAACAATAAGAATATTTACACACCATTGACAAATAATGAAGGACTGGTTTTAAATAATGTCCAATTAGTTTAAACTGTCAAATACCAAGCGGTCACCGGTGACCGCAACCTATTGTTCTATAATTGTGTCTACAAAACCGGTACTCGACGAGTTAATATCGCCAATCTGCCTTGAGTAAGCGTGACGATTAAACTTCCATTGTAAAAGCCTTTGCTGAGTAGGAAGCACTCATAGGATGTTGATGATGATGATGATGATGATGATGATTGCATATTGCAAGTGCGACAGCCAAGTCAGAGGACCGAGTTCGATTCCTAGGCCAAGAATAACTATGGATATTTTATTTTTTCGAATATTCATATATTTCTTGTATTAGCATCGAATATAAAATTACCTACGCCATCACAAATATAAAACACTCCACTTACCTCGTAAAAAGCACAAGCAAATAAAAACAATCTGTCGAAGATCCATTTCAGCAAATATTTAGCTACTACACAGTGTCACTTTATACACTTCAGAAGCACTCTTTGATACTGATCCGATGGTAACGGGAGGTGATATGATGCTCTCTTGAGCCATGAATTATGGCGAGCTTAGTGTGTACTGCGATTACATGTTTTGATACTAGAAAATTAAGCTTTTTGATTTTATATTCTGTTGATATATATCTACTACATATAACTTATTTTTAAGGGGGGAAAATCATAGAATGACTGCTCCCGCCTGGGTGGGGCGGGAGGGAGTGTCAGACTCTTACTGACTAAAAACCACCCCGTTCCTTCTCCTGCACGTCGCGCCGGAGCCCCGGTAACCCGTTAGGTTCTCCGGGACTCCGAATCGGCATCTGGCCTACATATTTATAACTAAGCTTTTAAATGGTGCGCGGCACGGAAATTAAATACATAAGTAACGTTATTTGCTAAATAGAGAACATGCCTCTGTTAAGCCGTGCGTTGCCTGCAGTCTCCAACCTATTTACTAAGCGTGGCGATTATTGTAAAAGGTCCACAAGGTACAAACTAGCTGCACCTAGCAGTGGATGTTATCGACTGTTGATATATCTCAGATGTTAGGAACGTCCTGGGGTCGTGCAAAGTATTGGAATTTTCGGTTTTGAAATTCTCAATCAGCATAAAACTAAATTTCTTACTGAGGTATCTAAGTTTAGCAACATATCAGACGCAATTCTTAACAGTTTGTGACTTAACACGATAATCAGGCACCTTAAATATTTATTACAAGTATCAAGATCAAGTCGCAGTCTAGGAGAAATGCAAAATAAATAGTGTCTCGGTGTCAGTGTATTAGTGACCATCAATCATTGAGAGAGTCCGTAGAAACTACACAAGAAAACAAATCATATATCTAAGTACATCATTATGAACCGCTCAGTGTACATACGGCTACAAGTCAAGCTACACATAACCAGTTCACCATGGTCCCGCTTTGTACAATCTTTCTACACTTGCAATGGTCAGTCTAAACTGGTTATCTGACAGATTGTCATAGACTCGCATTGTATGATCTTTCTGTTCACTCAAAGGTCAGTTTATACTGGTTATGTTTAGGTCGATGCGTAGCCGTGTACGTAGCAAAAACTTTCCTAACATAAACAAACATGTTATTACTTTGAAGACATTGTAGCTAATTGATTTTTAATTGGTAAGCACGATTGAAGTTAACGGATACTCGGATAATTAGCTTTTTTATTTAACTGTGCTTTTATTAATGATTCGAGGCTGTATAACAGACAATTTAGTGCGTTTTTAAAGTGGAAAATGGTCGATATCACGTGACAGAGCCATGGTTCGAGTGAATCGAACTCGAGAGACTTGATCATACTTCCGATTACTTATTCCTTTCAGTGGTAGATACCTAGGTAACTATAAGATTTCTTAAATATAAAATCTATTAGATCTCACTTATGACAAAAATTGGTAGGTAATATAAGGTGAATTGTTTAGTAGAAGGTAAAATGTAATAATTCAAAACAATTTCGAATTTACCTACCTACACTACAATTTGATTTTGGCGGTAATGTAATAAACGAAAGTTGCCATATTTCTAAAAGCATTTTAAAAGATGAAATAAACTGGGGTGAACCTTATTATGAAATGAAAGAAAAATAATACTGCAACAAAACGGTAAAGTATATTTTCATTTTTGAATAAACACTCAATAAGTAACAAGTATAAACCATAATTATGATTGTGTACAAGAACAAACATTTTATTTGGAAGACTAATTTATACATTTGAATTTCTATACTTATAAATTGCACACATGTTTCCAGTAAAATTGGGAAATAGACCGAATGAAAAATTGCAAGTGATAGGTGCTTATTGGTCACAAAACAAAAACCGTTTCACAAAAAGGATTGCGACAGTGGCGCCACCCTGACTCAGGTAGGTACAAGTGCTAGGCATTATTACTTTACCGTATAATTCCTTTATTACGTATAGATAGTTGTATTTGAGTGTCTATGCTAGTATAATACTTCATAAGACCTAGTAACTTGATAACTTTCTTCATGTCTCCTTCAAAAAACGCAGCAGAGACCTCTTTCTGTAAACTATTTATTTTGGCTTTGTTTTCTGCATTTAATTCCATTATTTCTTTTTCTGTCTCCGCATTTTCTACTTCTTCATTCTTTTCCATGATTTCCATTAGGAATGCTTGGTCTACTTCTGTTTGTTCTGGTATCTCTTTGCCTTGTAAGCGCAACATGTAAATACCTGGAAGCAATATTTTAATATCGAAATTAAAAATAGATTATTCTAATGTGTTCAAACTTGAACACACTACTTTAGTTGATTTTATCATTTATCTGCAGACTATGCTAGAAGTAATTGATATAGTTTTTTCTTCTGAAAAAAAAAACTATAATATTTGTTTTTGACCTTGATCAGACAATCCTAAACCCTAGCAGTGCTCTCCAAGTTAGAACCCCAGGGTCCCAGACTGGATTTTATACAGGGGTTTTAAGACTAATATTCTATTTAAAATTAAATAATATTAATATTAAAAAAAAATACTATTTTTTTTGTATAGACACATTCCGTTATTTGTCAGATAGTTCCTTATCATATGTTTACAAACCTCTGTTTAATGGCTCCAATAATGTCTTGTATGCTTCATTAACCAGTGATGAATACTTTTCCGAGATATCTTGTTCTTCTTTTTTTCTGAAACAAGAATTTTTACAGATTATATTATTATTTTAATATATTATTTTCTGGTTGCTTGCCTTTAGCCTGAAGTTTCCTGTAATGTACAAGATAAATGGAAAAGTAACTGTTCCATTGCTAGATAAACGCCGCTTTTTATAAATATGACAAAGGAATTAGTGTTATTCACAACTCATTGTTAATAAAATAGAATGATTTTCTACTTCAATTAGAATCTCTTATCAGTTATAACAATTGCACCGGCCAAGATTACTTTAAAATTCAGATAAAATGTTGCATGAAGAGATATAATTTTAACTCGTCAATTACCGTCATTATAGACACAATTATAGAACAATAGGTTGCGGTCACCGGTAACCGCTTGGTGTTTGACAGTTTAAACCATGGAATACAGAATATTGATATATAAACCATTACCTGTTAGCATACTTATCAGGGTGTAGGTACTTCTGTAATTCTTTGTATTTCTTAGCTAATTCTGACTCGTCTAAGTCATAGGATTCCTTCAACCCCATGATTTTAAAATAGTTTTCATCTTTGGGTGGCTGTTGTAACGCATTGCAACTTCCACAAAACAAACTGGGCTGTATGTTCATAACGTCTTTGCCACAAGACCAACATGATGAAAGCCTTATTTGCCTCAGTAAAGAGGTTTGTTTCACTGTTGTATTAAAAATAAAACTTCTTAGACTCATAACTTTCAGGTTATATAATAAAACTTTTGAAGTGTTAGGTTCACAACTGATCAATCGTTGTTTTGACTTAATTTTCCGTCAAGTTAGAAATAAAAATAACGTCATTCTCATAATTTTTCATACCTATTACTTCTAATTTGACATTGACGTGACAATGTTGATAACAAGCAGCTGATTGAATAACGTTTAGTTATCTCATAGAATCTGACTCTGCGAAAGGATTTCAAAAAGTAGTCCGCGAATTTATAGATATAATTTTTGTTGAACATCATAAATTGAGTTTGAAAATTAACATACTGGTTCGTTCAATATTTTTAAATGAATTAAATTATGTTATTTAAAACGCAAAAAAGTTAGTAAAAGCTATATGAAAAGCTCAAGTCCCAAATTAACATCAATGTCATTTGTCAAAAGTGACAGTTGGTAAACACTCCATTGCAGGGAAATTAATAGAGATAGAGAGTGGTTTTTGTGTTAATTTTGTGATAACAAAGAGTTTAAATAATCATGACGAACTACTTCACAATGGATGGGACGGATTCAACGAATTTCCAGAAAGAGATATCGGGTATGATGCACGGATTTGGCGACAATCCGAACCCGAATGCAGCCACCGTTGTGTTGGTCGAAAGCATTGTTCAACAACAACTGAAGTTTATGATTCAAGAGGCCCATCAACACTGCAACCTGCGCTGCGGTAAGGCTATAACTAACTACGATATTATTTACCTCATGAGGAAGAATATCAAGAAGCTAAAACGCCTGCATGACTATCAGTTAAAATTAGATCAAATTGACAAGAAATGTATCTTGAACATCACTACGCAAGCTGAATCCCTGATCACAGGCCTGCTGGAAGACGAAAAAGACCCGACTGTAAAGAAACGCAGAACACACATAGACTACATCAGGGAATTTGATGAAGCTGATGAAGTAAGCCAGATTAAATTTGATTCCATAGACTATATTCGAAAAGTTCGTGCTGCTAAAATCACTGAGTCTATGACTTTTGAGAAGTATGAGGCTTACCACAAAGCTAGGTGCTTATCATTCCGTTCTGGTTATGGAATCGGAAGAGGGTTTGTTAAACTTGAGCGCTGGCTGAATCCTGTAAAGGAATTCAAGCTAACGCAGTCAGCTTTAGAGGTTTTAGGCTTTGTGGCTTATGAAACAGTTGCAGAAATTGTGGATGGAGTCTTCTTAATCCGCCAAGATGCAAAGAAGAAAAGCGGAGATCCTTTTAGCAAATTCGAAGGTGGTTACTTCTGTAATCCTGTCAGCTTAAGTAATGCTGTGTATATTAAATCTGGGTATGAAGGAGTGCCAGCAATAACCGTAGCAGAAGTCAGGGAGGTGCTACGAAGATATTACTCTCCGAGAATGGGAATGAATGGATTGTTCTATAGGAATATGAGCTTGGATTTGCCAATTCGGTATATAGCATTGTGAGAGGGCGTAAGGTTGTAAAGCAACTAAATCAAGAACTCTGATGTATCTATTTTTGTGCCAAATTACATAAAAATGATCCACTGATCAGCATTTTTGGTGTTTATGTGTACTGAGTCACAAATTCATGCTTTGTCATGCTTGATGTATTAAACTTAAGATAGTTAAATGATAAGATTCTCAAGGCTCAAAGGCCTATAAGCTATGAAATAAGGATTATATTACTGAGTAGGTAAAAAAAGTGTTATTAATTTGTTGCCGACATAAAATATCACATTAGAAACTATGGCTATGAATTTTTTTATTTGTATTAAAAAGAATAACAAGAACAATTTTAAACAAAAATCCATTTATTACTGTTTTATTTGTATATAGTATTGTCCACTTGTACTTATATTCTTTTAAATCGAATGCAGTGTCATTTGTATTGACTTGACAAACATTTACTTCACATTTTTAAACATTAACAAAATATAAAGGGCAATGAATTTTTTCTACATGTGAAGTATACTCTATATTTGAATTTTGTAGCACGTTATGACGTAACGACCTCCCACTCCTAAACTTAGCGACATTTTATTTAAGTACTGTAACTTAATACGAGAAAATAAAAAAATATGTGTCTAATATTTTTTCATTATCTAACTGACGGACTAATTAGATTTTTAATTTTGATACCCTGGAAACTACCCAATTAGTTTTAAAAACAAAGTTCTTTTTCAAGAGTAGATATCATAACTTATTTCTTATCCTCATTATCTTTGTAAGAAACTTGATTAGTTTCTATCTTAGGCCCGAATACTGACAGGCTACTCAATTTTAAGTAGTACTTAAATATCGTGCCGTCTCTGTCATTTCGCAAAGAATTTGTAGAGACAGAACTATACTTAAGCCCATAGATATAATAAAGAAGATTTTTAATATTTCTATGCTTAAGTCCGACTTAATATTGAGTAGCCATTCAGTATTCGAATTCTGTATTTCTTGTCGTTGGTTGAATAGTCACAAGTTCTCGTATGTTGTTAATAGAAATAGATTATTAAGGATTGTAGTACCTACTTAGTTATAAGTCAGCTTTATATTATCCTCATTAACTTAAGTTAGGACCAATGGAAGAACTCTAGTTACTGTTGCATCATACAATGCTAAGTGTCATCACATTACATCACATTCCACTTTCTGGAAAAAAAGTAAAAATCTAAATTAAATATTGTTTATTCGTATAGCGTCTGTGTTCTGTTGCGGGAATGCCCGACTACTTTCGAACCTCATTAGGATCCTTACGTTCGTGGTTAAGTCGCTTGGCTAGTGGACAACCCTCTAAGTCCTCTAACAAACCCTCTATAAAACACGCGTTAACTGAATGGACATTATTTAATATATTCTCACAATAGTTATTATCCAAGAAAGTTGAAAATGTATTAAAGAGATTGAAATGATTTGCTTTTGTAGTATTATACGTAGTTATTAAGAACTGGATAGGCTTATGTCATTGAAGTGATAAAAAAGTAGGTTTGGTCAGGCAAGGGTTAATATCCGGATCGGACAAAGTATTATTGGAATGTAAGAAAAAATTGTCAGTATGAAATAAAATTGTGGAAGTTTATTTTAAGACTTTTTTTACCTTGGTTATTGGCCTACTGGTAGTATAGTATCAAGGCAAAAAATAAAAATAGATGTAGGTAAGTTCCTAACTTACCGTAAGATTTATTTAGAAATCGGTAGCTGACCTATCAGCTACCGATTTCTAAATAAATCTTACCTAGCCTCGTTGGCCGAGTGCTCGCAAGGTCGACTGAAGGGCAAGAGGTCTTGGGTTCGATTCCCGGGTCGGGAAAAGTATTATTGTTTTTTTTTAAATTCTCAGTAATAGCACGGAGTCTAAAATTGTGCCCGGTATATGGAAATAGGCTCACTCCCTATTACATGGGACTCATAACATAAATGAAAAGTGGGTGATAAATTGTACAATGGCATAATGTGCACCTCTGCGTACCCCTTCGGGGGTAAAGGCGTGATATTAGGTCCTACCTATTTGAGATTCCATTGAAGCGAAAATGGCAAACTCTTGTACCTACACTGGTCATTGAATTTGTTCTGAAACGTCACAATAGTACTTAACTATAAGGTAATTCTTTGATGTTTTTCGTGCGTAGAACAAAGAGAAGAGTCCTCAGGATCGAGGAATGGATAATAGGTAACTATAATAGACAATAGTGGCTGGTGTTTCGACAGTACCCATCTTTCTTAGGTACCTACTTTGTGTCTCAACAACTTTTGAGGTGAATGAGGCTATGCTAGAATACTTTCTAGTACCTTGTTTCTGCCTTTTAATGATGAGCTTCTTCAAAAGCGCGGAGTTTGGAAATGATACCTCTTTTATGCCATAAGCCGGTAAACGAGCCGACGGATCACCTGATGGTAAGCAATCTGCGTCGCCTATGGACACCTGGAACATCAGAGGTGTTACAAGTGCGTTACCGGCGTTTTGGGGATTAGGAGTTTGAGGATCGTTGGGGATTCAGGGATTGAGGAGATTGGGGAAGGGGAGGGTAATTGGGCCTCCGGTAACCTTACTCACACGACGAAACACAACGCAAGCGTTGCCGCCGGCCAATTCGTGCCGAAGCAGGGCTCTCCCACACTTAAAACCTAACTGTAGGTCCTACTTAGCATAGCTACATACTTCACGAATCACGATCATCGTCATATATAGAAACAAAGGTACATAGGTACTGCATATCGCTTATGGGATTTCTTCCTGCAACTCTGCGAGAGGAGTAATAAATACATCATATAACACAGTGTGTAACTAAAATATCTCAATGCCTACCTACTTATCTTGTTAATTATTTTGTTTTTCGGCTTAACTCACGTAATTATTTTTGCTCAGTAGCAGCGCAACAGTCGCCTTGGTCATGAATACGAGCCTCTAGCATGGCTTGAAACTAGTCGAGTTCCTCGTCAATTAATTACGTTATAGAAAGCCGAAAAACATAATTTAATTTTGTCTCACGAAAGTTATAACTAACCTGTGTGACCTTCACCTATCGCTTTAGTACCTACGAAATAACAGGTCCAGGTCCTTACCATAATATTACAAGTTCCAGTTAATCCATGATTTTAATAAATCTCTGCTCAACGTCTCCACTAGGTCACTCTGAGTGACCCACGAACAACTTTTAAATACCCAATTAAAATAAAGCGGGACTTAATATCCCTCAACTTTGTTATTGCTTCTGACAGACTTTATTGTTTAATAGATGGACAAATAAAAACTATATACATTTTATGATCCAGTTATAACTTTATAACATTATGACTTGTTTATAACGATGGTTGTAGTGTTTTATATAGGATTGTTGCAGTATTTTAGTTCAGTAAAGATGAGTGTTCATTTATAGGACAGACTACGATAGAACCTTGTCTAAAAATCTTTATATTTAATAAATTATTTTTTTTACGGGGGGAAAATCATTGAAAGACTTCTCCCGCCTAGATGAGAAGGGAGGGAGTGTCAGACTCTTACTGACTAAAAACCACCCCGTTCCTATTCCTGCACTTCGAGTTGCAGCCCCGGCAACCTTCAAGACCTCCGCGGCTCTGTACACTCTCTCCCTCCTCACCCAGGCGGGAGCAGTCATTCGATGATTTTCCGCCCTTAAAAAAAGGCTCGTTTATTTAATTAATAGGATTGGGTCGGAGATATATCAAAATATTATTATTGAGATTGTGAATCATATTTTTTATATTTCGGTGGATACACCCGTATAGTTACTAAGTTCTAGTCAAGTTTGAACTCTGGAATCCATTGGTGCGGTGCCTGGGCAATCAGTTGCCGCGCAACGTGTCGTGGGTTCGATTCCCGCACGGACCAACTCTTTATGTGATCCAAAAATTGTTGTTCTGGGTCTGGGTGTCATGTGTATGTGAACTAGTATTTTTGTAAAAGCATCTACGACGCAGGAGAAAATCCTAATGTGGGGCAACGTTTTTTTTTAAATGCAGTGAGATCATTTGGCTTACCCGGAAAACCCGTTAGGTTCTTCGCGACTTATATAATAGTATAAGATTATGTTTATTTATCTTTATCTCTGAAATATGTAAGTGTATCTTCTATTTGCTTAAATAAATCGTTGCTTGCTTCTTGCTCCTACCAATGACTCTTCTCTGCATCACCCAAAGGCCAGTCTGGGAGAAAATGCCTGCGGCATTAAGTCCACCGATTTGTACGCTTTGTGCATGAAGCGTTAACGAATAAATAAATAAATAAACTTTCACAATGCAAGTCTAATAATAATTACAAGCAAGACGAGTTCCTAGAACCGCACGTATATAAGTAACCCAAGGTTTTGAGAGGATCCTTGCAAGTTTAATATTGTCGAGCTGAATTATAGCTTTCCTTATTGGATGCAGGACTGCTGGCTGAATTAATAATGTCTGGATACGAAACTGAGGTTTTCTCGTGAGCTAGTCAATATTTTCTGATGTTAGTAGCGCGAGGGAGCCGTTATTTTGATTTATTGTTGCGATATATTAGGTTGTGTTTGTGTTTGATTACAGTTTTTGTTGGCTAAGGTTGGAAGACTTTGGGATCGGTTTTGGATAAGATAAAGAGTTATTGAGATGTTTTAATAATAACTATCGTGAGACATACTAAATTAACTTAAATCGCGGGTTATTTGCCTGAATATACTGAGAAAAGCTCTACTAGTTTCGAACCACAGAGGGGTTCTTCCTCATTAGCACCGTGCGCGGTCGCGGCGACGTCGCGCAGCTAACTGGCTGGCGTTGGCACTCGCATTGGTGTTGCTACTTGCGCTGCGAGCCCAACGCGCCCTCTGCCGGTCACCACGAACATTTGCTTCCAACTTCGGCGGCGCGTTAGTCGATGTTCCGGAGGTACGTTCACCAGCGACGCAGGTATATCACCAGTATATTCACGTGAGTAACCCGCGATTTTAGTTACTTATTGAGATCTTTGATTGATGTAGTTTTATTTGTGGATAATTAGTTATACTTAGCCAATTTTGAGTATTGTAGGTTGTATCCCATTGCAAAAGGGTTAATAAAAGTTCTAAATGCAAAACAATTGTACCTATAATTTATTAGGGTCGTTTGTGACTGGAGTTCAACAACTGCATTAACTAAAAAGGACGAGTTGCTCACATGAATACACAGAGAAAAGCTCTACTAGTTTCGAGTCACAGAGGGACTCTTCCTCATGAGTAGAGTGCGCGGTCGCGGCGATGTCACGCAGCGCAGTCACTCAGTATATCGCATGATAGTTATTATAAAAGTATGCATTTATTTGTTTAATTTAAGGTAGATAATTTAAAGAATACGATTTGATAGGTGTACATTACGCCAAACAAACAACTAAGGTAATGTTTAAATAAGTTCTGATAAAAACACTGCAGTCTCATCACAACAACACGCCTTTTATCCCCGAAGGGGCAGGCAGAGGTGCACATTACGGCACTCAACGCCACTGCACAATGTAAATGTAACTCCCACTTTTCATTATTTAAGTTATGAGTATATGAGTCCCATGTAATAGGGGGTGAGCCTATTGCCATATACCGGACACATTTTCAG